GGCAGGGGATGCTGCCAAGGCCCAGGTGTCACTGGGTTCCAGAAGGAATTAGCTGAGACCCAGCAATGTCCGTCAGCCAAGGCCCATGCCCAGGATGCCCCTAACCGGCTGCGTTCCCTGTTCTGTTCACTCCCTCTGGGGCACCCAACACTGGCCACTGTGGGCAGCCAGGACACGGGGCTAGGGGTTCCCTTGGGCCACTCTGAGCGGCATGGAGTCCCTGGCAGAGGAGGAGATCCCTGGCGATTGAGTCTGGGCAGTGACAGGAGTTTGTTCCTTCCCTAGGCCATACCCCTTTGTGCTGTTCTACTCCAAGTTCAACGGTGTTGAGATGTGCGTGGATGCCCGCACCTTCGGCTGTGGGCAGCCAGGACACGGGGCTAGGGGTTCCCTTGGGCCACTCTGAGCGGCATGGAGTCCCTGGCAGAGGAGGAGATCCCTGGCGATTGAGTCTGGGCAGTGACAGGAGTTTGTTCCTTCCCTAGGCCATACCCCTTTGTGCTGTTCTACTCCAAGTTCAACGGTGTTGAGATGTGCGTGGATGCCCGCACCTTCGGCAACGACGCCCGCTTCATCAGGCGTTCCTGCACCCCCAATGCGGAGGTGAGCTGCCTCCCCCGCATCGGGCCGCCCAGAGCCCCTTGCAGGGGACCCACGTGCAGTGGCAGGGAAGGGGGGCAGAGCTGTGCAAGCGCCCTGAAAGCTGGACATGGGGGAGGGGTGTGGGGCCTGAGCGCTAGGGGCGGGAAGACGTGCAGGGCCCTCGGGCCGGGAGCGGCCCAGGTGGGCGCAGGGCAGCGGCGCAGGTCATGCTGGCGTGCCAGGCAGGGGGCACATCTCTCCGGGAGGTGTCAGCTTGTCTGCTCCGTCTGTGCAGGTCCGCCACGTGATTGCCGACGGCATGATCCACCTGTGTATCTACGCGCTTGCTGCCATCGCCAAGGACACGGAGGTCACCATCGCCTTTGACTACGAGTACAGCGTCTGGTGAGTCCCCCGTCTCGCCGGCCCGCACTGGCCTCCTGCTGGGACCTCCCCCTCACGGGCCCCCCTTGCCCAGCCAGGGGCCCGCTCCCCCTCCTCGGGGCCCCTCTCGCCCGCCAGGGGCCCGCTCCCCCTCCACGG